CTCCTGCACACTCCCTACTAGGGATGTGCCCGGAACCAAGGTACATGTCCCTGACCCGAATCTAACCCAGGACCCTTCAGTCCGCAGGCTGACTCTCTGTCCACTGAGCCAAACCGGTTTCGGCACAAACTAGTTACTTTTTGAGTTTTTATCTGGTTGAGTTCTCTCTGGATATTCAGTGTGGCTGTGAGCCAATGTATCAGTTCTTTTGACACAGTATACTAGAAAAATTGAAGAGTTCCTTAGTTAAACCATTTTGTGACCACTGTCAAGTTTTTAAGTGCAACTTGTGTGGCACTTAAAATTGAAATAATTATCTGGCCTGTTAACAAATAATCATAACATTTTTCTTTCTTTATTGATTAAGGTATTACGTAGTGTCCTTATCCCCCCATTGTCCTCCCCCCCCCCCCCCGCCCCATGATAATTTTTTAAAGTAAAATTAATTTCTTAATTTACTCTACAATAAATACAACATTCCAACTTTTCAATTTTGACTAGAAAGGTCAGGAATTGGTTTGCTACAGAGATAATACTTAGATTTGGAAAATAGGTTTGATAATCATAGTAACTTAGTAGAGGTAAAAAAGTACAAGGAAAATTATGGGTCCACATTTGGGACTGAATAACTTTAATAGTTAAACTTTGCTTCTAGAAAGTTTATTAGGTAAACAATGTAAAGATTAAGATTTTATAACATTTTAGGACTGCCTTGTAAAAATATGTAGAGGGTCTTAGGCAGGTAGTAACGATTGCTAATTGGATACCGGTACTTTCCAAAGTACAGGTAATGATGAAGTCCCTCATCCTATTTAAGATCTGAGTAGCTTGCATTGTGCCAAACCCATCTGCTGCAATCTAAGCTAAGCTGAACATTATACATTTGCATGTTATTGAAAAAAAGATACATTGGATAAGAATTAACTAGCAAATTTCTCACCACTTCTGGAAAAACAGTTTCATTGATATTCATTTGGTCATACAATACTAGTATATGATGAGTGGACAGCACAGCCTTTTTGGTTTGGATAAACTGCTGAAATTTTAAGCCAGTGACAGTTTCCATTAAGATACTTGCAAGTCACATTTTAAACTGGGTTTCAGAATAAACTTTATTTCTCATTTATTATTTTTAATGAAGAAGCTTCATGTGAAAGATAATTATACAAAATTAACATTGAAAATTTTTTTTTCTTCTTTTTAGATCACTAAACAAAAATTTGACCAGAGAAAATGCTGAAATCGGAGTTACAGTTGCATGGGATTTGCTGAATGAAATATAAGCAGTTAATTTTTGTAACGTGGGCGAAAGCCAAAATTGCCAAATTACATGTGTAAATCACTGCGTTATTGCTTTAGTCATTGTCTCTACTTAGCAATGACAAGGCTGGAAGAAGTAAACAGAGAAGTGAACATGCATTCTTCAGTGCGTTACCTTGGCTATTTAGCCAGAATCAATTTACTGGTTGCTATATGTTTAGGTCTTTATGTAAGATGGGAAAAAACAGCAAATACCTTACTTTTGGTAATTTTTATTCTTGGTCTTTTTGTTCTTGGAATTGCCAGCATCCTCTATTATTATTTTTCAATGGAAGCAGCAAGTTTAAGTCTCTCTAATCTTTGGTTTGGATTCTTGCTTGGCCTCCTATGCTTTCTTGATAATTCATCCTTTAAAAATGACGTGAAAGAAGAAGCAACCAAATATTTGCTTCTAACTTCTATAATATTAAGGATATTATGTGCTTTGGTGGAGAGAATTTCTGGTTATGTCCATCATCGGCCCACTTTACTAACCACAGTTGAATTTCTGGAACTTGTTGGATTTGCCATTGCCAGCACAATTATGTTGGTGGAAAAGTCTCTCAGTGTCATTTTACTGGTTGTAGCTTTGGCCATGCTTATTATTGACCTAAGAATGAAGTCTTTTCTGGCTATTTTAAACTTAAGTATTTTTGTAGCCTTATTATTTTTCTCCTCATTGGAAACCCCCCAAAATCCGATTGCTTTCGCATGTTTTTTTATATGCCTGATAACTGATCCTTTCCTTGACATTTATTTTAGTGGACTTTCAGTGACTGAGAGGTGGAAACCCTTTTTGTACCGTGGAAGAATTTGCAGAAGACTTTCAGTTCTTTTCACTGGAATGATTGAACTTACATTTTTTATTCTTTCAGCATTTAAACTTAGAGACACTCATCTCTGGTATTTTGTAATACCAGGTTTTTCCATTTTTGGAATTTTCTGGATGATTTGTCATATTATATTTCTTTTAACTCTTTGGGGATTTCATACCAAATTAAATGACTGCCATAAAGTATATTTTACCCACAGAGTAGATAACAACAGCCTTGATAGAATCATGGCATCCAAAGGAATGCGCCATTTTTGCTTAATTTCAGAGCAGTTAGTTTTTTTTAGTCTTCTTGCAACAGCTGTTTTGGGAGCAGTGTCCTGGCAGGTAAGCTTATAGTTTGTTTATTATGTCAGTGCCTGTGATGTGTGATTAAATGTTTGCTTCAAGTGTTGAATTATTAGAATTGAAAGGTCGAGTTCCTGATTTCAAAAGGAGATTCTTTTTTATGGCACTTACTCAGTTTTGTTCATGGAATTGAAGTACTGAATGATCATTGATAGGATAATTTAGTTTGATCTCTAGCAAAGAGGCACCAAAATGTTAGGCATACTCAACATGTGAAATGCCTCTTACCTTTGCTTGTTCATTAATGAATGAAGTATTCATACATTAAAGATTCTTAGAATTTTAACATTTTAAAGGTGTTTAGATATTGTGCCTTAATTCTTTCAATACACACACACATACACACACACACACTCACACTCACACACTAGAGGCCCGTACACAAATTTGTGCACTGGGGGCTAAGAGGGTTCCTTAGCCCAGCCTCCGCCCTCTCACAGTCTGGGACTCCTTGCTCCTTACTGCTTGCCTGCTCGCTGCTCCTTACTGCTTGGCTTGCTGCTCCTTGGTGCTGTTGCAGAGGTGGCAGAAGCTCCTGCTACCACTCCTGGCTTCCAGCTGTGTGACACTCCCCCTGTGGGAGCACACTGACCACCAGGGGGCAGCTCCTGTGCTGAGCGTCTGCCCCCTGGTGGACAGTGTGCATCACAGTGACCCGTCATTCTGGTCATCCCACCTTAACGGTCGCTTAGGCTTTTATTATATATATATTATTGATTTCAGAGAGGAAGGGCGAGGGAGAGAGAGAGAAAAACATCAATGATGAAACAGAATCATTGATCTGCTGCCTCCTGCACACCCTATATGGGGGATCAAGCCCAAAACCAGGGCATGTGTCCTGACCAGAAATCGACTGTTACCTCTGGTTCATAGATAGACACGCAGCCAGTAAGCCAGAGAAGACTTTTATCCAGAATCACTGGTAATAGCCAGAACCAGTTTACCTACCTTCTGTATAGTCTACTGATCTCCTCATCACCACAGCACATTTCTTTTACATAGCCATTTATCTACAGATTTTATATGAAAGGTGGTGTAATGACATAGCAGGTACTTAAATACAGATAAAGGCTCTCCTAAGAAAGAAAAAAATGTTTTACAATACATTTGCTGTTGCCCTAGCCGGTTTGGCTCAGTGGATAGAGCGTTGACTTGGGAACAGGTTCAGTTCCAGTCAAGAGTACAAGCCGGGGTTGCTGGCTCCATCCCCAGTAGGCGGCCTGCAGGAGGCAGCCGATCCATGATTCTCTCTCATCAGCGTTTCTATCTCACTCTTCCTCTCCTTTGCTCCAGGTCAGCAGGGGAGGGCATTTTGGGGCAACCAGGCTGTCAGGGGAAGGCAGTTAGGGGCAACTAGGCTGGCAAGGAAGGGCAGTTAGGGGTTACCAGGCCCATAGGAGAGGGCAGTTAGAGGCAATCAGGCTGGCAGGGGAGCAGTTAGGCATCGATCAGGCAGGCAGGCAAGTGGTTGGGAGCCAGCAGCCCTGGATTGTGAGAGGGATATCTGAATGGATCGGGTCTAAACGGGAGTTGGACATCCCTCGATGTCCATCCCAGGTTGGAGAGGGTGCAGGCTGGGCTGAAGGACACCCCCCCCCCCCATGCACGAATTTTGTGTACCACGCTTTAGTATAATAATAATGAAAAAGTTTGAAATACTGTGAGAATTACCTAAATCTGACACAGAATCATGAAGTGAGCAAATGCTGTTGGAAAAAATGGCACTGAGATGCTCTCCCTCCTGGCAGCATGCGCACGCCTTTCTTCCTTCTCAGGTGCATCTCCCATATCTTCAGAATTCCCAGGAGATTGCAGCCAGGGGAACAGTGTGCAGCGACAGCTTGTCTCAGGCCAACCCCTTGATCCTGTCTCCAAGCCCCCGTTTTCTCTGACTTCCCTGTGAGCCAGAGCAGCCCACAGCGGCTCATTTCTTTCCCATAACTTTTATAGAGCCAAATCAGGCCTGCTCTCTTCTCTGGCCTCTTCTAACCTAAGCCCTTCCCTTTTCACACTGTCCTCAGCTTTAATAAACACTCTCAAATAAGAATTTTAAAAATGGCACCAATAGACTTATTCAAATGTATGGTTGCTGCAAATCTTCAGTTTAATAAAAAAAAAACAAAAAAAAAAACTCAGTATCTGTGAAGCACAATAAGTTGTGTTATGCCTGTATTTACAGTACAACCAACAAAAGACTCTTATCTAAAACATGTTGAGAGCGAAACAAACCTGTAAATCAATAATTAAAAGGTAGCCCCATGGAAAAGTAGGCAAAGTATTTAGCACTTCACTAAATATGAAATCCAAATGATCAAAGGTATTTAATATAATTAATCCGAGAACTAAATACTTATTCTGGTTTTGTTAAGTATAATGGAAAATTAATAGGAATCTAAATGTGAATAATAGCTAAGCAGATAATTAAGATTTCATTAGGTGATAGGAATACTATTTGGTATTCATAAATGATTTTAGAGTGATGTTTATAGAATTACAATATATTACAAAGTTTACAGAACATTATCAGTCCCACTTTGATAATATATATATACATATATATGTAAACATAAATTGTATGAAGGTTGGAAATATTTTTAAAAGTACCTGTGTATGGGTGATGGTACTTGGAGTAATTTTAATGACACTTCTTTTTTACTTATTTGTATTACTAGAGATCCGGTGCATGAAATTTGTGCATGGGTAGGCAGGGTCCCCTCAGCACAGCCTATTCCCTCTCCATTCCGGGACCCCTAAGGGGATGTCCGACTGCCGGTTTAGGCCTGATCCCAGGGATTGGACCTAAACTGGCAGTCAGACATCCCTCTCATAATCTTGGATCATTGGCATATGTATTTTAACAGCAAAGGATTTATTTTCTGAGTTTTTTCTAAATTATATCAAGAATGCTTGTGTTTTGTTTTGTTTTGTTTTTGTATTTTTACTTTGAGTGGGATATTATCTGACAAATTCAAAAATATATGTGCTGTAATTGTTTTTGCTAGAACTGCCAAGAACCTTAGAGATAAATTTAGGATTCATTGCTTATCCATATATTCTTGTCCGCTTCAACTAACTATTGTTTTTAGATAATTATTCTTTTAATTATTTTTGGAAGTAGTGTCAAAAATGTAAGTAAATATGCATAGATGCAAATAAATATATATACTTATGCACATATAAATGCATTCCGACTGTACAAATTTGATGTATTAAATTTCTTTTAGCCAACGAATGGAATCTTCTTGAGCATGTTTCTTATTGTTTTGCCATTGGAATCCATGGCTCACGGGCTCTTCCATGAATTGGGTAATTGTTTAGGAGGAACATCTGTTGGATATGCTATTGTGATTCCTACGAACTTCTGCAGGTACAGTAATCTAGAATGTAAAAATTAGTAATAACTACTTGACTTAATATTTTCTTCATATTTGTGTGACAATATAAAATATAGCACATTTTTTCAAAACTATACTATTTTTAAAATATAAAAGTATAATATTTTAAGTGTTTAAAGCCTTTACTCTCAGTAAAATAATAATTTTCAGTGTTCAGTTTATTTTTTTCCTTATAAATGTGATTAGGTTATATTTTAACTAGAAATCGGGAAATATGAATGAATTTTCTAAGGAATCATAATATTTTCTTTAAGAAAATTTCCTTTGAAACAGCATGGTAAAATATAATGGAATGTAAACTAGATCTGAGAGTCCTAAATCCTAGTTCTTTATTTTCTTAGGGAAATCCTAACTTCTCTGAACTATAGTGTCTTTATTTAAATGCAGATGACAATACCTATTCTGCCCATCTCAGAAATATTATGACGAGCTAGTGAGAATATAAATATAAAAATGTTCTGCCCACTGGAGAATGTCATACAAATACGAAGAATTCAGAAATTGTCAATGTGTGTGTGTGTATGTATAAATATATATGTATCTGTATACATGCAAATATATATATTACATATATATAAATATATGTAATTTATTGTAGCTTATTTCAAAATTTTTTATCCCAAATATATAGTAGATGTCTGAATCTATAAATATTGCTACATTGTAACTTATTTAGTTAACTAAGTACCTTTGAAATAGAAAAAAATGAGTTTCTTGCAATTAATTAATCTTGATGAACAAGTATTCATCAGACTTTCATTGCGGTGAAAGAAACTTGAAATTTATCTAATTTTAAATATTTGGCATAAAAACCCCAATAGACTATTTGTATTAAATATTTTCCTCCATATTAAAGGTTTAATAAAAAGTTGAAAATTCTTATTAGAAGTAAAATAAATAGGTTTATTTTAAAGTAAGATGTAACAGCTTGCAGAAGGAATATGTGGGAAAAGTAATTTGCATGGTTAGATTTTTATTTCGTTAGTTTTTATTTATACATTTCTTCTTTTACTTTTTTGTTATCGTTAAATGATATAAATATGGAACAAAATGTTTTTTTTTTCTTGTAATGAAAACTAAAGTATTTGAAAGCTATTTATGATACATGAAGAAAAATGTAAAGTTTTCAAAATTCCTTTTTTAGATAGGATTAATGATTTCCCCTCCCTCAATATCGATTGTATTTTGATTCTGCTAGTTGTAGGACTTGGTTTATCATCTTTATTAGAGTGTCATTTTACAATTGTTTAGGAACAGATCTAGGTCTTCAATTAGTATTTAGTAGGATATGACAGTTTGACTAAATATTAATAATTGTTTTTAAATGCTATTTACTAATAGGCTATTTCTTCTATAATTTATTATCTTAGGTTAGTAAAACTTGAATACAACTTTATGAAGATTCCTTTTCAATATAGGCATTAAATAAGTATGTAATTTAAAGTATTGCTTTTATACTTTATTTTTTTCTCAAGAAAGAAAAGTTTTTATTGTAGTCCCCACCCATGTTCTTGAAACACATTGTGGGTAAAATTAGTATAATTTTGATTTTAAAATGTCTTGTCCATTGCCAATCATTTGATGAGAAGATATAAATAAAGAACAAAGAATGTAGTGCTGTCTACATGTGGAGATATATTATCCCACCTTTTAATTTGGTTATTGTTTATTAATAAGAAATAAAATTTTCAAGAAACTAGGCTTTGATTTTCAAAGCTTAATTCTTAGCATCAAGAAGCTTAGAAAAGGTGATTTCTTAAAAAATCCTGCCATTTAGTTAGCAGAAACTATTATGATTCTTAGATAATTACTTATAAGTGAAGGATAAAAAATATGATATAAAATGAATGTTTCTTAAACACTGAAATAATTTTTTTTCCTTTTCAGTCCTGATGGCCAGCCAACACTTCTTCCGCCAGAACATGTACAGGAGTTGAATTTGCGGTCCACGGGCATGCTCAATGCTATCCAAAGATTCTTTGCACATCATATGATTGAGACCTATGGGTGTGACTATTCCACCAGTGGACTGTCTTTTGATACTCTACATTCCAAACTGAAATCTTTTCTTGAACTTCGGACTGTGGATGGGCCTAGACATGATACATATGTTTTGTATTACAGTGGGCACACCCATGGTACAGGAGAGTGGGCTCTTGCAGGTAAAGTCACCCTGGCACTTTCACTGTTGTGAAAATACACCTGGTGTAGAAATCTGTCCTTTACAGGGAAACATTACATTTTTAGAATTCTGTTTTCTACTTTACAGTTTACCAAGTATATATATAACTTTTTTTCGTTTTTCTAAAATACCTATATTTATAGCATAATTTTAATAATCTCCAAAGGTTTTGAGAATTGTGTCTTACACTTATTAGAAGAAAAAAATGTTTGATTTGATACTTATAATCAATTTCCCTTTAAATTATTTTGAGAATTATTAAATATAATAACACTTTTCAGAAGCTGATTAAGTTGACTAGTACTTTTAAGTCTCCTAATGTTATGAATACTGAATTTAATAGTCTTTCACATGTAGAGTTTTATTTATCCTAGAAAGCTCAACAAAATTTTAAACAGAAGGTGATATGGTGCGAAAAGCACTTAGGTCAGGAGACCCTGAGTTTGGTCCTAATTTGCTACAATAGTGTTATTTTAGGTAAGTTACTTAACTTATCTTGGCCTTGAATCTCTCATCTATAAAATGAAAGTGTGATATTAAATTTCTCTGCCAAGTGAGAAATGAGATTTCTCTATATTATATGTAAACTAGAGGCCCAGTGCATAAACTCATGCACGCGTGGGGTTCGGTCATCCTGGCCCTAATCACAGATTTGAGGTGGCCTGCTGGGGGAGGACGAGACACGGGGAGGTTGGCCAGCTGGCCTGCCCTGACTGGGGTCTGATCAGGGCCCAGCTGACTGGGGGAAGAGGCTCTAGGCAATTGGCCAGCGGTCCCATCCCTGATTGGGGTGGGGGTTTGATTGGGGGTAGGGCTAGATATGGGGAGTGGCAGCTGGCCCCACCCCCAAATGAGGTAGAGGGGCCGATTGGGGATCAGTGGCTTGGGGGTGGGTCTCTGGGAGGTTGGCTAGCCAGCCCCAACCCTAATTGGTGTGGGTGAGTCGATAGGGGGCAGAGCAGGCTGTGGGGGAAGGGCCGCAGGCAGTTGGCCATGCCCTGCCCCTGATTGGGGTGGGAGGACCGATCTGGGGTAGGGCCGGGCCAAGGGAGGGGCTGCAGGAGGTTGGCCGGCTAGCCCTGCCCCCTGTTGGGTTAGGGAGAAGATCGGGCAGTGCCAGTGGGGGAGAGGGGCTGTGGGAGGTTGGCCCACCTGCTTTACACCCGATGGGGCCAGTTCAGTGGCCACAGTGGGTGTCATAGCAACCAGTAGTTCCAGTTGTTACAGCATTCTGGTCCCTGGCTTTTTATATATATAGGTGTGTTTGTTGCCCTCACCAACTATAGGTCAAGGGCTTTGTCTTATAAATTATTTGCTTAGCTCCTAGAACAGAGCCTGGCACATAGTAGGGGGATCCTTAAGTAATTGGTAGATGGATAAAATTAAATCATGGAAAAAAGGAAACTTTCTTGCTTTAGATTAGAAATACTTCTTTTAGGTATAATTATATCCTGCTTTTGTTTATAAAATAATTTTCATTTATACGAAGGACCAAACAAAAAATAAAACAGTCAAATATCTAAGTAGAAACAGATTCTCAGATCAAAGAAAAATAATAAACATAATTATTATAGAAAGGCAGAGCAGCCAATACATGAACTCCAGAAGGAAGGAAACAAACTCCATGTTAAAGTAGAGATGATTATAAATCACATGGTCTCATAATTTCATACCAGATTTGTAACTAAGTCTTTATCATAAAAATATTTTTATAATTTTTCTTTCTGTAAATAAATAATGGATAATCCAATGTATGTCTAGGAGTAATGGTGAACTAACTTTTATTTATTGGGCACATTTAAAGCACAGCTACTATGCTTGCTATTTCATACACATTAGAAATAATCTTCACTTGAAATCCTTTGAGGTAAATACTCCATCACTTAAATTTTTCAAAGGATGAAATGAAAGCTAAAAGTGGTTACATAATTTACCTGTTGCTCATGCTATTGATAAGCGAGGAATCGGGATTCAGGGCCACATTTGCCTGGCTCCTAGAATATGTTTTCCCCACTGTACCAAGTTGCCACCAAAGGAAAAAAACATGAAGGTAGAAAAATGACATATTCTGGTTAAGTAGATGTTTTGTTAACATGGTTCACCCATTTTCAAAACATTAGAATGTAGAAGGTAGTCAACATTAAAACTACTTGAATATAATTTATAAAATCATTTTCCTGACCTTAACTTTTTAAAAAATATATTTTTATTGACCTCAGAGAGAAAGGGAGAGGGAGAGAGAGAAAAAAAACAAACAAAAAAACCCCAAAAAACATCACTGATGAGAGAGAATCACCAATTGGCCACCTCCTGCACACAACCACTGGGGATTGAGTCCACAGCCCAGGCATGTGCCCTTGACTGAAATCAAACCCGGGACCCTCCAGTCTGCAGGCGGACACTCCATCCACTGAGCCAAACCAGCTATGGCCTGACCTTAACTTTTTAATAACTCAAAATAGAAAACAACTCTTTAATTTAACCTTTATGGCTACTTTAATTTCAGGTGAAGATTAGCATTCTGTGTACTTCAGAGCATAAGAGAAAAAGTTGTAGTCAAAAGATCTTCAGAGAAATAGATCTTCAGAGATTATTTGTTGAAAACTTAATGCAATCCTACCTAATGAGAGAGTAATATGCAAATTGACCATCACTCCAACACACAAGATGGCTGCCCCCATTGTGGACATAAGATGGCCAGCAGGGGAGGGCTGTTGGGAAGGACCAGGTCTGCAAGGGAGGACAGTTGAGGATTATCAGGCCAGCGGGAGGGGTGGGGGCAGTTGGGAGGGACCAAGCCTGCAAGGGAAGGCAGTTGGGGGCGATCACGCTTGCAGGGAAGGGCAGTTAGGGGTGACCAGGCTGGCAGAGGAGGGAAGTTGGGGGTGACCAGACCTGCAGGGAAGGGCAGCTGGGGGGACCCAGGCCTGCAGGGGGAGCAGATGGGAAGCACCAAGCCTGCAGGGGAGGGCAGTTAGGGGTGACCAGGCCTGCAGGGGAGGGCAGTTAGGGGCAAACAGGCTGGCAGGAGAGCAGTTAAGCATCAATCAGGCTGGCAGGGGAGTGGTTAGGGGTGATCAGGCTGACAGGCAGAAGCGGTTAGGGGCAATCAGGAAGGCAGGCATTCGAGCAGTTGGGAGCCAGCAGTCCTGATTGTGAGAGGCGTTCCAGATTGGAGAGGGTTCAGGCTGGGCTGAGGAACACCCCCCACCCCATGCACGAATTTCATGCATCAGGCCTCTAGTGTTGTGATGATAAACTGTTTTCAAGTTAAATGCGGGAAAAGGCATATTTTTATGGTCATGCATAAATCCTTAGTTATTTTTAAGTTTTATAAGAAAGTAATCTTAAAAGTAAGCTTGCTGTTTAGGTGAAGAATTTATTAATATAAACTTTTTTTTTATCTTAAAGTTTATTTCAAGTAGTTTTTAAAAGATTGCTTTGGAAATAAACTCTTTATGTTCAGTTTACTTGTATTTAATCAGCATTTTCTTTTCCTAGGAAAAGTAAATAGACACCAAGATAAATATTTTGTGTGTGTTTGTGTGTGTGTGTGTGTGTGTATGTGTGTGTGTGCGCACACGTGTGCGCATGTGTGTGTGTATATGTGTGTGTGTGCACGCGTGTGCGTATGTATGTGACTGCGCATGCCCATGCACACACATCTTGTTAAATTTTTATTCACTATCAGGAATTATCTGTGAAGAGTTAAAAATGCTGAAGTAGGAGTTTATTTTAAGTAAATATTTAGAAGTAACATTCTGGAATATTATCTTTATAGATTTTTGAAGTATGTCACCAATAAGCTGACCATTATGGAATGCCTCTGTTAGCCAAGATTTGTTCCAAATAAGAAAAGCAGTCATAGACAGAATGTGTAAATTTCTTGGTCAGAGACTTTATTGTAAAAAGTAAAAATAGGGGGAGGGAGGGAGGGGGGCAAAAAAAATCATTAAAATATGTTAAAAAAAATAAATAAATAAATTAAAAAGTAAAAATAACAATGGAGAGACATAGCAGTCCTCCTCATAATTCAGCAACTGTATACTCTCCATGTCTGAGGCATCTGGCCCCCTTGCTAGTAAACAGGTTGAACCAGGGCCAGAGGCTGAGCCCTCTTTTCAGTCAGTTCTGGCGCTAGCCTGCCCCAGACATAACCCTCAAAGGCTGATTCTACCTCAGAGATAGTATTGAATACTGCTCTGAAGAAGAGCTGTAATCCCATCTAAACCAGTGACAAAGAACTCCACGCTCTGAGAATTTTGTAATAGTTACCTTCTAAAAGTCTTTAAATAGAAACATCATATCTTGAGTTAGTATGTTAAGAGCAGGTCCAGAACTAAATATCACTGTGAGAAAGATTATCTGTATTTGCCCTTTATCCCATACCTTTACTTACAGTATTTCTTAGAATATGTAGTTGTCTTACATTTATGGGGTTTTCTAATATGAAAACTGGTATTTCTGCTTCATGGCTTGAGGGTAAAAAACAATGATGGCTGTGATGAGAGATAGAAATCCTGGGTGGGGCAAACGTAGGTTTGCAGTTCTAAGTACTTGAAACACAAGAGTTTATTCTTGTGTTATTATTATCATACTAGAGGCCTGATGCACAAAATTCATGCACGGGGGTAGTATGTCCCTCAGCCCAGCCTGCACTCTCTCCAATCTGGGACCCCTCGAGGGACATCTGACTGCCCCAAAGAAATGGGCAGTCGGACATCTATCTCACAATCCAGGACTGCTGACTCCAAATTGCTCGCCTGCTTGCCTGCCTGATTGCCCCTAACCACTACAGCCTGCCAGCCTGATCACCCCCTAAACACTCCCCTGCCAGTCTGGTTGATGTCTAACAGATCCCCTGCCAGCCCAGTTGCCCCTAACTGCCCTACCCTGCAAGCCTGGTCACCTTTAACTGCCCTCCCCTGCAGGACTAGTTTCCCTCCCCCCAACTGCCCTCCCCTGCTGGCTTGGTCACCTCTAACTGCCCTCCCCTGCAGGCCTGGTCCCCCCGCAACTGCCCTCCCCTGCTAGCCTGGTCACCTCTAGCTGCCCTCCCCTGCAGGCCTGTAACACCCCCCCCCCCTCCAATTGCCCTCTCCTGCAGGCCTGGTCACCTCTAACTACCCTCCCTTATAGACCTCATTCCTCCAAACTGCCCTCCCCTGCTGGCCTGATCTCCCACAACTGCCCTCCCCTGCCAGCTATCTTGTGTCCACATGGGGGCAGCCATCTTGTGTGTTGAAATGATGGTCTATTTGCATATTACCTCTTTTTTTTTTTTTTTTTTTTTTTACAGAGTAGGAATATTGTTTTTTCTAGATTGACAGGTTGTTGTTTTTTCAGATTATTACAATTGTTTCTCCTTTTTTCCTCTCATAGCTCCTCTCCACCCAGTTTCCACCCTCCCTCCCACTGTCCTCATCCATAAATATATGATTTTTGTCCAGTCTCTTCCCATACCCCCCACACAGACACTCCTTTCCCCCTGAGAATTATCAATCCACTCCCATTCTATGCCCTGATTCTATTATATTCACCAGTTTATTCTATTACTCAGATTTTTAATTCACTTGACTTTAGATCCACTTGTTGATAAATATGTATTTGTTGTTCATAATTGCTATCTTTACTTTTTTCTTGTTTTTTCTCTTTTTAAAGAATACCTTTCAGCATTTCATATAATACTGGTTTTGGTGATGATGAACTTCTTTAGCTTTTTCTGATCTGTGAAGCTCTTTATCTGCCCTTCAATTCTGAATGATAACTTTGCTTGGTTGTAGGTTCTTGCTATACATCACTTTGAATATTTCTTGCCCCTTCATCTGGCCTGCATAGTTTCTGTTGAGAAATCAGCTTATAATTGTATGGGTGCTCCCTTGTAGGTAACTAACTGTTTTTCTCTTGCTGCTTGTAAGATTCTCTCTTTGTCTTTTGCTCTTGGAATTTTAATTATGATGTGTCTTGGTGTGATCCTCTTTGGATTCCTTTTGTTTGGGGTTCTGTGTGCTTCCTGGACTTGTATTTCTTTCACCAGGTGGGGGAAGTTTTCAGTGATTATTTTTTCAAATAGGTTTTCAGTGTCTTGCTCTCTCTCTTCTTCTGGTACCCCCATAATTCTGATGTTGGTACACTTGAAGTTGTCCCAGAGGCTTCTTACACTATGTTCAACTTTCTGGATTCTCTTCTTGCTTCTCCAAATCTTTGTATTCCAAATCTTTTACTTGATTTTTGTGTTCCAAATCTTTGATTTGATTTTTGTGTTCCTCTAGTCTGCTGTTGGGTGTCTGTATATTTTTTATTTCAGTCAATGTATGTTTAATTTCTAGTTGGTCCTTTTCCATATCCTTGAGGGTCTCGTTAAATTTATTGACCTTTTCTAGGAAATTTTTGAAAAACCTTATAACTTTGGTTTTGAACTCTATGCCAGTCGTTTGTTTTCCTCCCTTTCTTTCATTTGTGATCTGTTTCCTTGTCTCCTCATTTCACTACTTCCCTGAGTTGGTAGGGTAGCTTTGTGTACTAGGTGTTCTATATGGTTCAGTGGGTCAGCCTCCCAGTTGCCTGATGTGGACACTCTTGGTGCACCCCTTTGTGGACTGTGTATACAGCCTTGTAGTTAAGTCTTGATTATTGTTGGTGTCACTGGGAGGAATTGACCTCCAGGCCAATTGGCTGTGAGGACCTGCTGTATCTATAATGGAAGAATTACTGTGCTGGAGACACGTTTATGGGGCAGGACTTGTTCCAGTAGGGCTTTGGTGCTCACTGAGTCTGCCTCATGAATGTGTCCCTTATGAGAGTGGTTGAAATCTGGTGTTGTCTCACACAGACACTAGATACACTAGTTTCTGGATCTCCAATGGGGTGCAGGTCAGCTTGCATATTACCTGTTTATTATATAGGATTATTATATAGGATTTCCCATAGGAACAAGTGTAACCTACTTTTATCTACTTTGTAAATGAAAAATAAGTAGATAATCTGTAATGTACTTTATCAGAGACAAACAAAGCCTTTATAATGCAATATCAATTACTTGAAATGCATGAGATGGCTGTTATCTAAGATAAATGTTAAGTACTTAATATCTGGGCCAAAAGCCAAATGAATTTTCTCTAATTCATAGAAGAAAGCAAAGCAAAACAAAATAGAAGAAATATCATTTAAAAGATTTTAATGCTGCTTTACATCTCTTGTTGATATTTAAAGAGCATATATATATATATATATATATATATATATATATGAAAGATTGTAGAATGTGCTGAAGAATATTTATTGAAATATTTGTAAAAGGCAAATTAGGGATGTTTTATGGCAGATAGAATTTGTAAAATAGCACCTGTAATCTGTTATTCTCTGGTCTCTAGAGAAATATAATAGAATTGGCAGTAATGAAAAGTTAGCATTTCACCATTTTTATTTACTTTTTATTTTAAAAAATATATATTTTATTGATTTTTTACAGAGAGGAAGGAAGAGAGATAAAGAGTTAGGGACATCGATGAGAGAAAGTCATCGATCAGCTGCCTCCTGCACTCCCCCTTGGGGATGTGCCCCAACCAAGATATGTGCCCTTGAACAAAATCGAACCCGGGACCTTTCAGTCCGCAGGCCAACGCTCTATCCACTGAGCCAGACCAGTTTTGGCTTCACCATTTTAAAAAATATATCTTCAGGGAGTATCTATGCCCTAGCAAGTGTAGTCCAGTGGTTAGAGCATCGGCCTGCATAGACCAAAGGGTCTTAGGTGCAATTTCCGGTCAGGAGTATGGACTTGGGCTGCCGGTTTGTATCCTACTCCCTGTTGGGGTGCATGCAGGAGGCAACCAGTTGATGTATCTCTCTCACATCTCACATCGATGTTTCTCTCTCTCCCTCCCTCCCTTCCTTTCACTCTTTCTGAAAAGCAATGGAAAAATATTTTCAGTTGAGGATTAACAACAACAAAAATTAAACTATAGCATGTTAAAACATTTTTCTAATTATAAAAGTAACATATTCAATGTAAAAAATAATTGGAAAATATTTAAAAATATAGTAAAACCACCTGAAATCCAAACACCCAGAAATAACCACTGCTATTATTTTTATAGATATACTTCTGTATCATACTTTTATCCTAATTGCATAGATAATTTTGTTGTCATTAAAATTTCTTAATAGATATCATCTATACTAATAAAAGGGTACTATACTAATTAGACTGGACATCTTCCAGACAAAGCCACAATGACAGGAGCTGAGGCAGAGGCAGTTAGGGGGTGATCAGGTCGGCAGGGGAGAACAGTTAGGGGCAATCAGGTCAGCAGGCAGAGTGGTTAGGAGTGATCAGGCAGGCAGGTGATCCGTTAGGAGCCAGTGGTTCCGGATTGTAAGAGTTGCAGGCCGGGCTAAAGGGCTTCCCTCTCCTGTGCATGAATTTCATGCATTGGGCCTCTAATTTTACTATAAAGTTCCCTTCCCCTCATTAGGTGTTACCATCATTTATTTCCATTCCCCCGGTTGTTTCAGATTTTACACTATTTTAGATAGCAAGGGTAAAGAAATCATTATATGTAATTTTTTGCCCCAATATCTACTCTTTCCTTAGGATAAATATCTAGAATTAGGATGATTGTATCAGTGTATAATTGAGACAGAGCCAGGACCAGGGAAATGTAAAGATAGATGTCAATTGGGTTGGCCATGAAATTTAAGAGGGTGCCAGAAATCAAATAATCAAAATAATATTTTAATGTAACATTTAAAAAATCAAAGTTAATGCAAAAGAAACTATCCACAGTGAACCAGATGGAAAGCCTTTTAACTATAATATAAGATAGGTTTATAGGTCAAATTTATTTACTTTAGAGCTTTCTGAGTAAACTATTTTTAATCATTTATTGTTTTTCATATATAAAACTGATTTAAAAATAAATTCATTCTTGGTAGAGGGAGGAGAGTTTCTTCTTCATCCAGTAGATACTACGTACAGGATAGGTAACATTATTTTATCAGTGGTGCACAACAGGATTGGCAAATATTTTGTGTAAAGGACCACATATTTTTGGCTTTGGGGGCCATAAGATGCCTGTTGTTGGAACTACTCAGCTCTGCTGCTGTAGTTGAAAATATCCTTAAATGAAGATTAAATAGGAAAAAAGAAAAGCACCCATAGACAGAATGCAAATGAGTTTATTTACGGAAACAATTATATGAAATGTAAATTTCATATTTTCCCATGTCACAAAATACTCTTTGTTTTTAATATTTTTCAACCATGTAAAATCAATCCTCAGCTCTCAGGCTATATGAAGACAGGCAATGGGCTAGATTTGGACCATGAGCCATATTTGCTGTTTTTGATGTAGAAGAATGTAAGCTTTCCTTTATAATTTTATTTTTTTCAACAAATACAACTTTATAAAGTAATTTATTAAAATAAGATTGCATTTATTTATTCTCACCTGAGGATATATTTTTCATTGAATTTTTTTATCTAAAGAGGAGAGGAGAGGAGGGAGGGGAACAGAGAGAGAGACAGAGAAACATGGATATGAGAGAGAGACATTGATTGATTGCCTCTTATCAGGTCCCAACTGGGGCCTGCTATCAAGCCTGCAACTGAGGTCTGTGCCTTTGACTGGGAATCAAACCCAAGACCTTTGGGTCTGTGAGCCAATGCTCAAACTGGCCAGAGAAATAATTTTCTAAATTTATTGTAGCATATCCCATTTAAAAAAAATTTTTTTAAATTGAATATATTGGGTTGACATTGATTAACAAAATTAACATCCCATTTTTTATGTGAGTAATAAGGATGTTTTTTTGTTGTTTTTTTGGTTCTGGTTTTTTTAACTTGAAATTGAAAGTTTGTTGTTATTTTTTTTTAATCTTGTAAGAAAATACTTTGAAAAGAAGGCTGTTTTCTACTCTTATATTTAATTTCCAAAATTTATAAAAAATACACTTATGACAGAAGGGTATTCTTATTGAGAAGATTCAGAAATTTCTTATTGAATTTTCTTTTGTTTATAGGTGGAGACATACTACGCCTTGACACACTCTTAGAATGGTGGAGAGAAAAGAATGGTTCCTTCTGTTCTCGACTTATTATTATATTAGACAGTGAGAATTCAACCCCTTGGGTGAAAGAAGTAAGAAAAATCAGTGACCAGTATATTGCGGTGCAAGGAGCAGAGATGATGAAGACAATAGACATTGAAGAAGCCGACCCACCGCAGCTGGGTGACTTTACAAAAGACTGGGTAGAATATAACTGCAACTCCAATAACAGCATCTGCTGGACTGAAAAGGGGCGCAGAGTGAAGGCCGTGTACAGTGTGTCCAAGCAGTGGAGCGACTACACTCTGCACTTGCCAACGGGCAGTGATGTGGCCAAGCACTGGATGTTACACTTCCCTCGCATTACATATCCACTGGTGCATTTGGCTAATTGGTTGTGTGGTCTGAACCTTTTGTGGATCTGCCAAAGCTGTTTCAGGTGCTTGAAAAGATTAAAAATGAGTTGGTTTCTTCCTGCTGTGCTGGACACGGGGCAGGGCTTTAAACTTGTCAAATCTTAGTTTGAAAACCAAAGTAGAATATTATTAAGAGTTCATACTACCAGTTACCACTAATTTGCCAGTTTTTGTACGTTATATTCTTATTTGTGAAAAATATCCTGTTACTTCTGTAGCTGCTCTCCCTTTGTCTTTTCTTAAGTAATTATGGTATGTAAGTAGTTGGGAATAAACATTCTTTTATACTAAAAGTATGTAGAGATTCAGAAAATTCTGACTGTGAATGCATGAGATGTAAAAGTAACAGTGCACTTTGAGATGTTTGCATTAGAAAGAAAACACTTGTCTATGCTCTGCAGTGAAGGATTAATTACTCATGCCTTATTTTCTAGGCATAGACCAGGATATTTACTATTTAAGGAAACTGAATTTGCATACAAAATATTTTTTTGTGAACAGTAGGGTTTGTGTCCCAAGTCCATTTGAAAAATTACATACTTTTTCTTGGGAAAGAAAAAAGTCTACCTGAAATGCATGCAAAATTTGCTTTTGTCCATTACATTCAGGTGTCTTGGCTGTGACCTAGCACAAGTTACTATTTAGATTTAAAATTTTTATATAGGTAACTAAGAGGCTAGAGCCTAAAAGTTGCTCCTTCGTGAATTGTTGGGGCCGAAGAAAATACAGGCAATTTTAAGAGTCTTTTTCAGGGAACCATGTTTTTTTAATGAACAATGTTTTCACTACAAATTTCTTCCAGATAAGTTGTCTTCCTTTTCGAAAAGTAATCTTATAAATTTAGCAATTTCTTATTGATTTGCAATTTTCCAGAAATTATTTCGATCTCTATAAAGTTAAAGTTGCTTTAAAATTATTTTTCAAATCTCCATTAGTGATAACATTTGTGTGGTTTTTTTTTTTACTGAAGGTGAAAGGATTGGAAACATTTTTCTTGTAAGATATTATGTAAAAATGTATTTATATTAACAATTTTACTTAAGCATAATAGTGAGGTTATAATCTTTAAAACTTTTTTCAGTGTTTTGTCTCATTAAAGTAAGCACTGGTCAGGATATCTTCCAAGGGGTAATTTATCTTCTGTTTCCTTCTAGTAATCCTCACAATCTGAAGTTTTATCTCTGGGAAATACAGAAAGGGAGTATAGTTAAGTTGGGGTATAATCTAATCTTTGATGTTTAAGTGGTGTCACTTCTCACCATCAAAGCCATTTTTCAGCCTCAGAGAGACGAAATGATGCCCCCACCATTTTTTATCTGGTGACTTGCAAACTGAAGTTTTAGTTAGGAGGAAGTCACTAAGCGTCAGGGAACTTGTATACCACTATCTATGCAGCATTGTTGTTATGGTCTAATTATTTCTGTGCTTTGAATATGGTTTTCCTAATACTTTGAATAAAATTTTGTTAAAAATTTTTTATTAATGAGCAAATAACAGTTATTGTATGTTCTAGTATATTGCAAGTCAAAAAATGCCTACG